AACGTTCTTCAAATTGAATCTCATGAAAAATTAATAGAAATTTATTGTGGTCGTTTTTTTCTAGGCAGACATATTTTTGGACTTTAAATGAACATTTTATCACAGAATACTAGATGTTTGACGTCATGAAATTGATTTTCAACATGCATCGTTTCATTTATCTGTTTCGGTTCGATTGAAAGGTGGAATATATGAAAAAAAAAGCAGTTAATTAATTCTCTGAATGAACGTATTGAGTTAATTTTAGAGTCTTGATTTATTTAATGATTGCAAAAAGCCGTTCAAAGCATGCCTATCATCATAGAGCAGATTCAGCGTTTTTTACTAAAGAAACGTGGTTAGTGACGCAAATGAATTCGCGTCACTAACCACATTTCTTTAGTTGTTCAACGATCATTTCAACTGTCTGTGAGAGTTTCAAATTTGAAGCCGGCACTTGCTGACACACCAATGAGCGTTGTGTCAAACAATTCCGGTGAAAGTGCTGTTAATGTCATCAAAAAAATCTTATCACCAATGAATTTACTGGAAATGATTCGTCGCAACGAAGCAGGAAGATCATCCTCACTGAGAATCAATCGTTCATCTTACTGAATGCGATTTTAATTAATATCTTTCTCTTTGTTCGACTGAAATCACGAATCAAAGTAAATAATAAATTCTCATGCAAAAATTCCAAATTGATAGAATTGCAAATTGTGTGAAATGTATTCGCTAATTCATCCATATGAATGGTGGTAATCCGGACGACGAACACATTGAATGCATCATCACCATATTTTGATATGTTAACAATATATTTACTTCCAACTGATGATGTTCACTGTCAGTTCTATTGCATAAACGTCATTCTGTCATGAAAACAATCTGACATTCAGCGATGTTGCTTTGATGATTAGCATATGTTTTTGATTCTGATATATGGTACTGCGCGCAATACGTCACCATTAGTCTGGTGTTTATGAGTAATATGAAAATGACAAATACCCAAATGTGAACATCAAATTTCGGTATTTGTCATCGTCATATTGCTCATAAAGCTTGCGAAGTCGTTATTATACACATGTTTATCCGTGTGGAAGTGTGCAGCTTCCGTCTGTGGAAGCATTTTCAAAGATTCTTTTTCAGAAATTGCTAGTGAATTTGTAGAAATCAGCCTTGGAATGTTCTTGCAGGAATTTTGGACAGTTGGAGGCAGTGAGATTAGATGTTGATGATGAGCGCTTATTTGTTTGAATTATTGAGGGTATCAGAGTGAAATATGCAAATTCAGATGCAGGCACTGGCGCAGCTACTGAATCCACTTGCGTATTATCAACAACTGGCTGCCCTCTTGCAACAACAGCAGCAACAACAACAACAAATCAATCCAGTCAATCACGTCGTTCAGCAGTCCACATCTCAAGGTTATTAGATCTAATGCATTATTGTTATTAGCCTCATTATTGCTGTTGTTTTATTTCGTTGAACTGTCGTTAGTGAAACTCTCCAAATGGAGTATTTCTATGCAACTAGAACTGAACATTGTGGAGAAACATTTTGTGTGGTTATCTCATTTATTTGCTCATTCGTTCGTCTCATTATTTTTCGATCCACTTTGCACTAACACCGCAATTATCGTGAATCATTTTTTGAATCACACAAAAACTCGTGAATGCGTGCTAATAGAGTCATCAAAAAGTGAGCGATTTGAACTGAGCGTTAATTGGAAATAGTGAGCGATTGCAGTGAATTTGTTGTGCGATTTATGCGAAGGTTTGCTGCTCGTTTTTAGACGGAATTTCTTTGTGGCACTGTGCATTGAGCTGTTTGTCTGGCATTCCAATTGTCAACTTTCTTTTCAGTAAAGCATCTGAGAATGAGAAATTTTTGGCATTTTTGCTAATTGTGGGTGCAAAATGAAATTTTGCTGATCCGATTTCATTTTCCAGTAGCCAGTGGAATAACAGCACAAACTGCTCACCAGCAGCAGCAGCAACAACAACAGCAACAAAACCAAAAAAATGTTGAAACAATTCTAGCCGAACAAATGGTTCGGAATTCAGTACATGAGAGGTTGTATCAACCAGGTTCGAGTTTTCTTCGTGGCTCTGAATATGTTCCTCCTTTTGCAATCGTCCTCACTCTGAATCTGAATCTGTCACTTGAGTGATTTCAAACGAAACTAATACTCTAATGAGAAGCAAGCATATCATTCAGTGTGAATGCGATTAGGTCAGTGGAATAAATTTCCTTGCATGTGTTTGTTTGTCGAATTGTCATCCGCCTTTGCATCCAGTCACTATCATGCATTCTGAATCTCTGGTGTTGATGTTCAGTGATAATTTCGAATTTCTTTGTTTTTTGCATCTGCTTTGGTAGATTTCTTTTCGTCTTTGTCATGAGTGTTATGTGTTAAAAACTTCACTTCAGCAATTTCTAGCAACTGCACTTGTGAGAGCATTTATTTTCTTGATCAGTACGAAGCAGTGGCGAGTATCGTGGAAAGTTTATTGATCGCCAAGATATTTGCTGAATTAGCAAGCAGATTTGATTCGTTTCGGTCACGAGTGATTGATTGGAGTGAAACTGTTAAATTTGAACCTTGTTCTCGGCCGACTTTCATGAATATATTGGTTGATCTCAGGAAGTTCGCAAGTGTTGACTGCGGATAATCGTAATATTGGCCCGCTGACGAGTCCAGAGTCCGTAAAGGAGCATATCTCGCGACTGATCAGCGAAAATGAAGCGATCCTCGAGCAAAATCCAGGCCTCCTTAAGCGACGTCCGTATCATCGACAAGTTGGACCGCAGTCGTCAATTGAGCAGCAGCTCGATAATGTGCTCATCCAACGTCAAAGTGTCTCACCAGGTTTGTCACTTTTTTGTTTGTAACGCAAACAACATCTCACTTTTCAATTAATTTCCTACCTCCCAAAGAGCCATCCATCATTCTATTTGTGCTAATCATAAAAGAGGCATTGAGAACGACTATGGTGTTTAGTCGCAGCATTTTCATGAAGTGTTCACTAATATGTATTATCAGGTTTGCGAAAAAGTTCAGTCAAGCATGTTTGCGGTTGACTTATTCAGTTTTCAATTGATTTATTGATGCGTTTCTAAAGTTGAAATGTGACTACTCATTTATTTAGTTGATGCCCGTTACAATATGAAAAGTATTTGAAAGAAATAATATTCAGTGGTTTGTTGATGCGTTAAGATGTGAATACGTTGTTCATTGAAATAGAACTGAAAATGGCAGTAAACGAATCACAATAGAAGCGAATTGTTGAGGGGCGATTATAGTTGGTTGATTTTACAGCGAGTAATCGTGATCAACGAGTTGCACCGTGCACTCGAAGTCAATCATTCTACGATTCGCCATCACCGTTCGCCGTTCGCTCACTGTCCGTCGGCGGTTCTCTGACCAACGGACAACCCGTACTGCGAGCACCCGAAAAGTGCTCGATTTGTAATTATTGTCAATTGAAATTCCCAAACGATGCTGCGCTGGATGCGCACGAGATTCGGTGCAGTAGGTGAGTGCAGCATTCGGTGCGATCGTCATTTGATTTCCATCAACATCAAATAGCAATTTCACAGAGGAAGAACACCTGAACACTCATCGTTTCAGATGAACGAAACTTTTGTTTGTGATGAACTTAATGAATAGTGTAATCGGCTGAATGAATATTGAAATAAATCACGAGTCATATTCATTAATTAATGAATAGTAATCAGTTGTTTTCTTGAATTCAAAAAACCTGAGAACGTGCAAAAAATGATTTTTTTTCCAACTCAATCACAAACAGATGTGATTTGCAAATTTGCCAAGTAAACCGCCGAATTCAGGCGAGCTGAAGTGCTCCAAACTCAGTTGCAACAGCAACAACAACAACAACAACAACAACAACGTAATCAATCTCCAAAACAACACCAGCCAATAGTTGATTCAACATCCTCAAACACCACACTAAATATGACGAATAACAATTCAACTTCGAACACACCTTCAAATAATAGTAATAATAATAGTAACAATAATAAAAGCGCTACTGATATGCCAGTTCGAAAGCAATTAACCGCATCTCCGGTGGTTTCATTCGAGAATCGTCACCCTCTCAAGAGACGCTTGTTGGCGGCGATTGAACATCGTAACGATGAAGTGCCGCAGGCATCGACTAGTAAAGCACCTAAATTGGTACTTATTTCTCATCAATATATCTGCAAACTTTGTATTGTTTCAATATCAGTTTCAATTTCAAATTGTTTCAAGTTTGTTGATGAAATATTATCAATTAAAATTGTCAAAATATTAATCAGTATTATCATATTGGTTAATATTTTGACAATTTTAACTGATAATATTTCATCAGTTAAAATTATCAAAATATTAACGATTGTGAAAGCATCAGCAGTAATTTATCGAATTGATTGTTCCTAAAACTTGAAATAATTTCGCAGTGAGAAATGTGAAATAGCGATTACATATTTTAGTGATTCATGATGAATTTGATCGAATTTTATGAAAAGACTAAAGAACGCGCTAACATTTTATGTCATTTTCATGCGCTAAATGAAAATTGCATGCATGCATTGAATGTATATTCAGGAGATTAAAAGCGAGCCATCAGTGTCGTTGAATTCGACCGAAAGCCTAAGAGCAACGGTATCGCGGCATAATAATGGTCATCTGAGTAGTAATATAAATTCACTGAGCAGCACTAGTAATGCAACACATCAACTGAGCGTTACCATTTCTACGAATCAACCATCCGTAAAACATCCGCAGTTCTCGTTCGGACAAGCACTACTGACCACTTCCGATATAATTGAACGTTCCCAGAAGCAAGCGCATCCGGTGTCGTCGGTTACGGTACGTTTGTTGTTACCATTCTTTTATTACTGTTGATAANNNNATGATATTGAATTTGATTTTTCGATTGAATACGATTAGTAGTGTTGGATTGTTTGCGATCATAATCAGATATTTATTTCATCGATCGATTGAAGCATCGCTAATAATAGTAACGCATTCGTAGCGAGAGCATTTTTGTGATGATTCTCCGATAAGCAATTGAAAGTGTGAATGCATTGACGAAAAACAAACTTGAATGGTTTTTTCGCAGATGGCATTGCATGCTTCGAACATTTCACATGTTCTCTCGCATACTATTTGCGAGTGCCTTCGGTCTATTCATGCGCTCATCTACTCACCTCACTCACAATTAGCATTTTTGATTCATCATTTTTAGACGAGAAAAATGTCAGTCGTTTGATTGACTTTTAAACAGAAATGATGAAATAAGCCGGAAGAAAAAAGACAATGATGAATGAGCGAAAGGTTTTCTTTGAGTGAGCATTCGAGCGCATACTCCATCATAATACAGTGGGCATGCAACGCAGTATCATCATCATGAAAGTTTTGAAACGTTGAAAAATTGCGTTTCACTGACGTTTGAAACATGCGGAAAAATTCTGTCTTATTGAGTATTTTTTTTTGCAGAAATGCATTTTATCCGTCATTCTGTTCACATTCCATTCAATTGCATTTCCTTTCTCTTCTTCATTCTGTTGTTTGTTCACTTCTTCTTCTTCTTCAAGTTATCAGTCAACATTATTCGCTTCATGACAACATCTCGTTTTTTTTTCATGTGTCATTTTTGATCACCATAAACGCCTCTTCTCTGCACATCTATTAATAATAATGATAATAGAACGACACAGCAACGATAACTATTTGAATGGCGAAAAATAGCTGATTATGTTCATATTCTGTGTGAAATTTATTACTGATGATGCGCAGTTGATATTTATCTGGGAAAGAAACAGGCTAAGGTACGAGATTTCTGATGATGTGCAGTTGATATTTATCTGGGAAAGAAATAGAGTAAGGTACGAGATTTGAACTAAGGCAGGATAATGTCGAGGTGACTTGAGGCATAAACGCGCATGAAAAGTGATGAAAGCGCATACGAAAGATGCTGATTTCACATTCAAAAAACAAACGTTTTGACAGGCAATTTGACGAAGTATCGTGCAACGATCCGGTGCGAATTGACCAAATGCTTTAAGTTGCAGAGTAGTAGCACCAGTTGCGACACAGAGAAGCCGTATATTTTGACGTTAAACGATGCGTCGACGACTCGCAACGATATCGTGCCTCGACGCAGTCGTCTTCGCAACATCACCACCGAAACGTTTGCTTGTCTGAACAAGCCACAACCTATGTTCGTTGAACAAACACCCAAATTGAGTATGTACAGTAATTGGCAACAGGTATGTGTGATCACA